TGTGATAAAATCAACATCTTGAATGTTGTTCTTGCACACTACACACAAGTCTGACACTTCATACCTCTTTTTTTTATAACCTGTCATAAAAAAGTAAGTATAAAAGTCGATTGTCTAAATCGCCTCACTGACTGGGATTTCTTTTGCTGTAATTTTCACAGAGGCATAATTTTGAGATTTGAATCAAGTTATTTTAAAGTGATGGACACAAAATCTGCAGAGGGCTATACTGCTACTGCTACCATTACAACAACATATTTTGTGAATTAATATTTTTTTTAATTAAAATTTACTGAAAGGTAAATCTATTTACCTTTCATATATATGTACCTTAGTACATATATATGAATCCTGACTACCAGACAGCTGGTTTGTATGAGACTGTTTATAGAAGCTGAATTAAGTCCCATAATTTAATGCTCCTGTTTTTTAAGCTTCAAGTTGGCTGTTTTTCTACAAATCACCATCTCTGTGTTCTGAAACTAGGTGAGGGGTGGAGCTCACAGATACCAAGATGTGGCAGTGATCATCCAAAAGCATGCTCTGCATTATTGTTGTTTCTGACTTTAATGGGGCCATTATTTACAAAATGCTCATGTTTAACTTCACCTGAAGTGGAAACTAGTAAACGAGACAAAAACTCACAATTGGAAGAATTCAAGCTAAAGTTGTTCAGCAAACTAATATTTGGTCATTTTCCCAGAAGAAGATTATTAAAAATCACATTTCTAAGTAGTTTTTTTTTTTTAAACTTACTTTCATGCCATAATTTTCAGGTTCTGAAAATAAATCATTGTAACCTGATGCCAGGTATTGATGTACTAGTTCTTGTCCAGTTGGCTATTAGGGGCAATGACTGTAGTCACACAAGGGGAAAACCTTGATTTTCAGAAGTTTTGCAAAAATACACCATCAGATCTAGAAACTAGGTCCATCTTTTATATACAGCATATTATATGAGCTCTACACATCCTGCTATAAAATTACTGATATATTAGTTATTTTCACTGCACTGTAGCTAAGAATGTGATATTAGGTTTCACTCACTTTCCCTGATATTCAGCCATTAATTGATAAATTCAGTCAAATGATCATTTTACCTGAGCTGCCACTGTGCTGTTCTGCTGACTCGTCCAGCTCTCCTACCAGGGGTCTCATCTGGCTCTCATCGGGAGCTTCATCTAACCATGAGGTCGACTGCTGCGTCTCCATCCGACCCATCATATGACCTGCATAAAGGTCTCGCCCGCCGCTCAACCAGTGAGAGCTGGACTGATGGGAGAGCCGACCAATCATCCGACTCAGTGTGGAATCCCATCCATCTTGACCCGCACTTGGGGAGAACAGCTGGCCCGGAGAGTGACCGAGCATTGATGAGTGAGCCGACGGATGACCAACCAGCTGCTCCAGGGCCGAATCCCTCTGCTCGGTAACGAGGCAGGATGACCGGTCTGCCAGCTGACCAATCAGAGGCCGGAAAGAATCCTGTTCGTGGTCGTCAACCAGTAATGAGGCCCCAGCAGAGAACTCGCCCACTTTGGGATCAACTTGATTGTGCACTTCCTGCAACGATAACAGGGGGGAAAAAAAGATTCAGTCAAATTCTTCTGAATCTATTTTCAACAAAATTAAAATATTTTGATTTTTTTTTTTCCAATTTAGAGACTGGCTAGAATAGAATAGAATAGAATAGAACTTAATAGAACATAATAGAATAGAATAGCCCTATATTGTCTTTGTAGATGTACAACTCCAATTCCAATGAAGTTGGGACGTTGTGTAAAACGTAAATAAAAACAGGACACAGTGGTTTCCAAAACTTTTTCACCTGTATTTAGTTGAATACACTACGAAGACAAGACATCTAATGTTCAAACTGATAAACTTTATTGTTGTTTTGCAAATCTTCACTCATTTTGAATTTGATGCCTGCAACAGCTTCCAAGAAGCTAGGACAGGGGCAGCAAAAGACTGGGAAAGTTGAGGAATGTTCAAAAAACACTTGTTTTGAAGATTCCATGGGTGAACAGGTTAATTGGAAACGGGTGTTTGTCACAAAAAGAGCATACCCAAAAGGTTCTGTCGCTCACAAGCAAGGATGGGGCGGGGTTCACCACTTTGTGAACAAATGCATGGGCAAATAGTCCAGCAGTTTAAGAACAACGTTTCTCAATGTACAATTGCAAGGAATCTGTGGATTTCATCATCTACTGTCTACAATATCATCAAAAGATACAGAAAACCTGGAGAAAACTCTGCACATAAGGCCAAATACCAACACTGAATGCCCGTGACCTTTGATCCCTCGGGCAGCACTGCATTAAAAACCAACATCATTCTGTAAAGGATATTAATGGGCTCAGGAATACTTCAGAAAACCATTGTCAGTTAACACAGTTTGTTGCTTCATCTACAAGTACAAGTTAAAACTCTACTAATTCAACTCTAAAATCGGATTATCCTCAGTTTGATATAGTCTGCTGCTACATTTGTTGTAAAGACTTCATAGTTAAGATTATAAGACTCATTCCCTCTCCCTACCACAAAGTTTAAACTGAACATTGAGAATAATAATGCAAAAGTATCTGTTCAACATACAGATAACAGC